AAACTACCATAAGAAGTGACGGCTACGACATGTCTTAACAAGTCAATATACGTAATCAATTTTGTTTTGAAAAGAAAAAAAGGTGATAATCATGGCTAAATTGGTGTAGCTAGTCAAATACCAAAATAGAGTGACAAGAACAAATTGATATAACTCGGTTAAGAAACAAAGTAGAATGACAAAGCCAAATTAGCATGACTAATCAAGAATTAAAGTGGACTGGCAAGGACAAATTGTTATGGTTGGTTAGTGACCAAAATAAAGTAGCAAAGATAAATTGGTGACAAGTTCAAATTAGTGTGACTAGTTAGGGACCAAAGTGGAGTAGCAACTAGCAAGGATAAATTTGTGTGGTTGATTAGGGACCAAAATATATTGACAATGAAAAAAAATAAAATAGAGTGGTAAGACCAAATTGATATGGTTAACACTAAACAAGACAAGGAAAAAAAAAACCACCTAATTTGGTCCGGAAAAAAAAATTAGGGACTCTTGTTAGCTCGCACTACCAATAATTGCTAGTTTGCACTACGTGGCCTCTTCCTTTGCATAAAATTAAAAAAAAAAAAAAATGGACACACACACAACATTTACCTCCAATTTCATTGCATGTTGTGGAAGACAAAACCATGATGACTTTTTCATATATCTTGAGTTACGAACTTTCTCTTAGTTGTTGACTCTCTCTCTCTCTCTCTCTCTCTCTCAAACCAGATATTTATAAATTAATTTTTTTTTTTTGAAAGTTAGGGTTTCTTTTATATAGGTATTTTATGGTAAGCAAAAATTTCATAATATCCTTAATGAATCCGTTTGGCCTTGAAAAGTCAAAGAGAACAAGTTGCAATGTTCGGTTAACGGATCATAACTTTTGATTTAGGTATTTGTTTGATACAAACTTTACCAATTCAAAAAGCTAATTTAGAGATTCATAGTTTTGGTGTTGACAAAAAAACCAATCAAAATCTATTTCAAAAATCCATTTTTATATTCTTTTGAGATTTGAGCCTCTTAGGTAAACTTAGGCTATTTGTTTTTTTTTTTTAACAAGAAGGCTCATGGAAAGTCTAGTAGTTACTATGCATTGAAAGGCTCGCAACAAGTTTTTGTATATTTAATTTATTTTCTATGCTTATGAAAGACCTATGGTAGGCCTACGACAATCACTCTTGTAGAAACATTAATATCATCTTGTTTGTGGTACATAAGGTGAATGCAAATTCATACTGTTTTGCAAGGAGTTTATATTTTTCTAACTTTAATTTTGTTTTCTTTATCTCTTCATACATGATTACATGAACACTCTTAATGGAAAATATGGTCGTGTAGGGGACTGAATTTATATGTTTGATTTTTTATTAAAATCAATTAAGTAATTTAGCTAATTTTATTACATACTAATCACGTTGTTGTTGTTGTTGTTGTTGTTATTTTAAAATGGATTTAAGCTACACAAAAGATGGATTGGAATGAAGATGAGTCTCTTACCTAGTACAAGATTTTGGATCATGCAAGTGTGGATATTGGTATTCTAACGGGGTTAGTGTCTATATTTTGTATTTAAAATATATTAAAGGGATTGGTTTGGTGAATTAAGAGCATGATCCACTATAGAAAAGCTCAATCGTTACTTTGTTAAGGCTTTGCTAACAAATTGAAGTAGTTTAATCCAAAAAAATCTAATTTTCTTTAACTCAAATCTAATAGTCTAAATATGAATGATTTTCCACGATTCTTGTAGTCAAGGACCATTTTAATTTTAGTATAAATATCAATCTCACATCGTTGTAAGGAGATTCTAATTTTTTATCTTTAGGAAAAATCTTTGAACTCTTTCTCTTTTTTCTTTTAAAACTCTTTCACTCACACACTAGACAATATCTAAAACTCTATATATTTGAATTTTGACCTTCCACATGCCTATTACTCGACTTACGTATTGTTAGACAACTTGTTCATCTTCTCACGTCTCCGACTATTTGTATAAATTCTACTTGATTGGTTGATTATTGTTTCTATAAATCACAACTCTAACTTTTTTATATTTTTGATCAATATGCTTATATGTCTTTAACTTGTTTTCAAAAACTCCACCACACACACACACACACGTGTGTGTGTGTGTGTAGAATTTATTTGGTTACCTAATCCTTGATCAAAAAATAAGATGGCCAAATTTCAAAATAACAAGAATTGTCGGCATCAAATTTTTGGACGAGAAAGAATTCAAAAAAATTTATTTGGTTTAGAATAAATAGTATCGCCAGAATGAGTTATGTGCAAATCTTGTGCTGTTACAAACACAAATTTGGTCACCTCCTTGATATTCATTGGTAGTGCTCAAGTTGAAAAGATCTAGTGTGATATGATGTATAGCACTAGTGCTAGGGTACCAAGGTATGAATGGATCTCGACGCGGAAGTGATTGTTGTATATGCATGAGATTAGAAAAAGAAGATTGATTGCCATGAGACAAGTTCCTAGTCCATGCTAAATTGGTCTTTTCATTTAGAAACCGACGAGGAGCATAACGAAGACGATATCTATCAACTTGTATGGTTTCGATAAACACAAATTTGGCAAGGTCCTTTGGTTCTGCGATTTTCATAATTAATGGAAACATTCTTGGGAGTTAGATTTGTGTTTGAAGAGACCGGTTATTGGTTTGTGAATAAAGGATTGGTTGGCTGAAAGGATGGCTTATAGGCAATATTAACTAGGGATCCTTTTTTGGTGTGGTTCGGGAGAATTTCGTGAGCAAATAGTTGACAATGTAATTCATGGATTGAGACGAGTTTAGGGCCAAAGTTAAAGATAGCGAAAAATTAGTGTCAATATTACAATATATTATTGTAATAAATTCGATATGAGAAATAATCATTCTAATAGTAGCAAGTTCATCGGTAAATTTTTTTGCTTTGTGAAGATACTAAGATATAGGGAAACAAAAACAAATGCCTTCCAAACTTGATAAGATGATTGTAAGCCAATAATATATGTAAAAACCTCCTCGGACAATGAAGAGAGCATCCATGATAAAATAAGTCGATCCTTTTGAAACCGTGCTTCATATGCAAGATTTGGTAGCATTTGAGTTTCATTGGTGCGAGAGGCAATGGTTTGGAAAAGAGCAACTAGGGTACCATTAATGTAACCCATGAGATGTTGATAAATTAAGATGGGAAGGAATTAGGTCTTTCGGGTTAGGTAATTTCTAGATGAGAGTTTAACAAAAAAATGTACAATGAGTCAAGGTTTGAGTGTTTTTTAGATTTGGTGATGTAGCTAGGGCAATTTGAGAGGTATTATTTATTGAATTTGTCGGCATGATGAGCTTCTAAATTGTTATGGCTCTAATAACATGTGAAAACTAAAGGATTGTAAAAGTCTCTCTATCTATTTTTAATATGAATGAGGTAGAGGTTGTTTATGGTTGTCGAACATAGAGATAATAATACAAAATGATACAAATAATGATAAGACTTTCTATGCTAACAAAGTGATAATGCTAATCCTTGAACAAGCGTTACCTGCTCATTTTTTCACAACTCTTACTATTTTCATACATTCTACTTGATTAGTTGATTATTTTTTCTATAAATCACAATTCTAGCTTTCTATATTTTGATCAATAAGCTTGTTTTTAAAAACTTCATCACATATATATGTATCACATAGACAAAGGAAGGGAAAAAAAAAAACATAGACGAGCTTTTTAATGGTTCTTTTTTAGCAACTATCCCAGTGTTTTTAATGCCTCTAGAGAAGCGGAGAAGAGAGCCTATATATATATATATATATATATATATATATATATATATATATATATATATTTCGAATTGTAAAGAGAAGCACAATACGTAATTGAAATGAAAGAGTTAACTATTATTTAATTCTTGTGTTTTCAAAAAAGTAATTAGTTAATCTCTTTGGTTTAAAAAACTCGACATTAATTTTTATTTTTTATGTTTATTTATAACTTAGTCTTTCAATCAATTTTTATAAATATTTAATTGTTTTTGGCCAAAATATTCTTCATTTCTAATAATTCAATCACATCAATTAGAACCACAACTAAAACTGCTTTTAAAAAGAATAATTCAAACATGTTAAATAACTAACGGTCAACTCTAATCAATGAGATAATTTATGACTTTCAAATCCATAAAACTTCACTTACAAAATTACGAAACACAAGGAATAAATTATAATTTCATCTGTTGTGAAACATTATGTAATAAAAGTTCTTGTTTTTCAAAACACATCAAATAATCTTTCTATTTTTAAATGCTAATGAATTGATCTCTATATGTTTAGATACATTTGTAACTTAATCTTTTTTTTTCTTTTAATTTATTTTGTCTTTATGTTTTAAGAAATAGAAAAAAATAAAAAAATATGGAAAAAAAAGATTTTTTTTTTAAACAAGAGAGATTATTTATTTGGTTTTGTAAAACTAGAAAGGTTAACTTATAATTCACTCTAAAAGTATGAGAGCATAGGGGTTTTTTTTTTTTTTTTTGAATAAAAGAAGGGCAAGGCCTTAAAGAATTACAAATATATTATTTTGGAAAAGATAATCTCTCAAATGTTTTCTAAAACAAACTTTAAGTAGTCTATCTTCTAAAAAATAATGAATCTCACCATCTAAAAATAAATATAATTAACTAACCAATTTATACGTTTATTTTCCTAACGATAAACGTGACAAACCAATCATCTCAAAAATAGTGCAATAGCCGAAGTATAGGAAAACTAACATGCTATAAAAAGATGGCGAATGACCTTTTTTGATTAGAAGATCAAGAGTCAGCAATCCCTTTAATATGACTAATTAAGAACTGATATTTTTCTGATTTGTGGTTAGGTCATTGGAATATTCCGAGGTCCCATCATGGTGTCACTTCACTACCACATAAACCAGGAAATGACTTTATTAGTCTTAAGAAGCTGCAAGAGCCATTTGGCCTTAAGATTCACCGAAGAGACACACTTTACTACTAATCAGCCCGGTACCGTCTGTATTTCGCAAGTTCAACTCCATGTCCATTGGATTCATGTCTATCTTCGTATGTACGCTCTGCAACTAAAATATACCCAAAATTCATGCTCAAATACTAAATATTTTTCTGACTTTTCTAGACCAATGAAGAGATGGAAATGAACAAAAATGTACAATTAGGGAGGTTGGTCCCACATGTACGTAATACACCTTCTTGTTTAAATAACATTTATTATAATTAATTGATATGGAATCTTGGACAAGGCAAAGATTCTTAGGTATCAGAATATCTCCAAGACTCCAACTGGCCTGAAGATAATTTAAACAAGTGGAGAATATACTGGGACAACGAGATCATGATAACTTGCATAATGGAAATTTCAGGTTTTCATTTTATATACTATCTTATGCAGAAATTTAAAAAAAAAGGCCCCATCAAAGTTAGAAAATTAAAATCTGATGCTGTATGCGGAATATTCGGAGGGTGGGGCTAAGGAATTGTACGCATTCAGGAGAGTATATTTCTTTGTTCTGTTCTGTATTGAAAGAAATGTGTGATGTGATAAATTATAGAAATGGGAATGGCAACAGCTTCATACCGTCGTCCTATGCTCTTATGTGTTGGCTTGGCACAAAAAGATAATATTCTTGGATATTCTGCCTCATATGGCCTCATTAGTACTTAAATATGCGTTTAATATTGCCATTGGACCTTCCAGTCTTGAGTTTTAAGACTTATTTAATCAGCCGTGGAAAGCTGGTGGTGGTAAGGTTTATTCCAAATTGGTGTTTTCTGTTTATTTTTTATCACTATTCCTCGAATTCCAACTCAACATCATTGAATTTGAAAACCTAACAATCACAAGATATGAAAACAAAATTTCATATTTGTAGAAAAATATGAGATTCTTGTGGCAGTAAAAAAAAAAAAAAAAAAGATTATTATTTTAATTAAAAAATTTAATACTATTGGTGTAATTATTTCTGTCTTATGTATAATGTTTAATTGATTGAGTTTTACAATTCAACGTTGATGAGTTATAAATCTTCTACTAGTGTAGAATCTTTCTTTTTTTAAAAAAAAAAAAAAAACGTGAAAGAGAAAACACAATTTTATATTAAGAATAACGCATTGTGAATAACACATTTTAACCAAACATCTTTCTTAATCAAATTCAAATTACTCTTTAGACGTAAGATCTAAAATTAATTAGTGTTCACATCCCCATCATGCAAGCAAGATATTACTTAGTCATGTAGCATGTTACGAATAGGACAAATTCTCTGTTGGTAAGCTTATTGATGCTATGATATCATGAAGAGGTTTGATGTCCGGTGAACTCAACACATTGTGTTTTCTGCATTAAGGTATATATATATATATAAGTTACCAGACATGTATGATCATCTCTATTTGATAGATACAAGTATAGATAGACAGACATAATATAGTTCTATCCTAATCACATTACAATCCTATTAGTGACATGTTAGGATTAGGACAACTAGTATATCCCAACCAAATATGCCAAATAGATCTCAAATTATATTGGTGAATCCTCAGTTATTGGTTCCAATAAAGTGATTCGACATCATGCAATATTTTTTTCAATCAATCTATAAACTACCCAAAACACGTTTATAGTGGTGTGGTTGACTAAACTTGCAGGATCGATTCAGTAAGACCTTTAATTGTGATACGAATCACTAGCTAGCTAGCTAGCTAGGCAAGCAATATCTTTTGTAAGGTTTGACGAATCCTTGCATCTCATGAGCCTTAAAATAACTTTCCGCTACTATACATTTCTCTTTTTGATCATGCCAATCCCAATTCAAGTAATGCTAGATCTTTTCTTGAATAATTAAATCTCATTGTGCGTCCTTTGCATTCGGTCGATCAATAAAATATTGTCACAAGACACTAATTTTAGTGAAGTCAGGATTACTTTTTTCTTTTACCTAAAATTCTGACGTGGAAACTTCCAATATCAACTCAATTGTCTTCAATTTTTTTTTTTTAAAAAAAAAACTCGAATCTAAGGCTTCTTGAAAGAAAAAGGGAGATAGATCCATCGATGTAATTTGAACTGCAAATTTGGTTCAAAAATAGTGGTTTTACAATAAAAAAATTAAACCTCTATCGTAATTACATTTTGTTCTATATTTGAACATATTTAGCACTTGCTGTTGTGTAATAACGTAGAAGTTTATGCAAATGATGCAGAAAGTATGTCACCGTGCTTATCACATTCTCTTCTTATCCCTTTAGAACGAAAGAGCAAGGAAAAAGACTGTGTGATGTGTGCAGTGCCGAATTTTCATGGTAATGGTGGAGAAGAACTGGCATTTACGCATCCACTGCAATCACAGATATTATATATTATTATTATTATTGGATACAACTCAACTTTTTATTTACTGGTATTTCCTGAAAGGGATGACCTCTTACAAGTCAATTTTCCTTTTCTAGTGGTTGTCTGATTGATGATTACAGATGAGGATTGAGGACCTCACTAATTTTTTCAGTTGGTGAAGAATTTAACGAAATTTGTTTCATTTCGGCAATTAAGCTTGGACTTGTGCACACAGGAATTAATTAAAGAGGTCACCGTGTCTTCTTCGTATAAGAAAGTGGTCCTCAAAACATACGTTGAAGTGGTCCTCACAACATACGTTGACCAGCCTGGTTAATTACTAAACATTATCTTGGAAGAATCTGGTTGTTTTTAGAGACGAGTGAAGATGGAGAAAATCATTCAACACTTCAAAAAAATATATATATAATAAATAAATAAAAGAATTTGCCTCCGGTTATGTATTTGCTTTACAAAGATTTCTGGACAAGTCAAGTTTTTTGAGCAAATAAGGAATTTGTCGCTTAATGGCTGTTGGTCAATATTTTGATGGTGCTCTTGTTAGACTAAAAACATCATGCTAAGGTGGTTGCTTGGAAATCAAGGGTTTCTCTGAATTCTAATGATGTTTCCTTGGAATTCAATCTGTTTACAATTAAAGAACTGTAAGAAAAAGATTGCTTATTTTATCCAGCAACAACCTGCCAAGTGGCCCAAAAAAAATAATAAAAAAAACAGAAAGGCAAGGTTTCAATATTGCAATTGACCTTTTGTTTGTTTCTTCTTGCCCAAGATACACGGTCTATGACTTTGTAACAGATTCGTATGTTGAATTGAGAAATGCCGTAACATGCATTAAGCTTTTGCATTGTCGAACAGGTAGTGTTCATTAAACATTTGATGCCTGCTACATTGTCCTCTGATCTCTAAATCACAAGTGTAATCGATTTGTCTCTGTTTCCAATCTTTCGGAAAATGAAATGCGGTGAAGTACATGGATCTTGATTCAACTTTAGGGCTGAGCAGTTACCAAAAAGAAAAATAGTGGAGTAATGAAAAATAACAAATCAGGAAAGCAAGTTGCACCAGAAAGCTCAGAACGTTGTCTATGTCACATAAAGGCCTTTGATCTAGTGTTTGGGTACAAAAATTTTACACTTCTCATGCTATGATACTCAAAAAACTGGGGATGTGGTGGTAGTATGTGTGGAGGAAGATGTAGCAGGGGAATTGCTAGAATAAGCACCCCTTTCGCTATGACTGCCCCTACCTTCTAATTGCAAGTGCTCAGATTGTGTATGTTGTGGATTCGGGACTGCTGGTGGTGGTGCGGCTATTGGTGCATGGATTCCGTTGGCCGGAGAAATAGTGGAAGTTTCTCCGGATGCTGTTGTGACAGCCACTGCTGCATACTCAGGGGGTGGAACCCAGATGCCACCAACAACTACAAATTGGGGTGCCTGTTGATTGCTGTTATTGTGGATTGTAGAGCTTGGTCTTCTTGTATGCAAACGGTATTTCTGAAACAAATGAAACATAAGTAAGGATAAATGCCTCAGTTTGATTTCACAATTCACATAAATTATACAAATAACTGAAATTGATTGGCATAGCCACCATAACCAAAGAGTGCTATTAAATAAAATGTGTTAACATATGCTTCATTCTATTTCTGTGTATGAAGGTCCTTATCTTCAATCCGTTTAAGACAAATCTGTATTTTACCAAATTCAGAATTCCTATTGCAAATAGTCGACACTCCTGTCTTAGAACCCAATTACAAGTTCACTAATTTTGCCACAGACGTTCAAGCAAGCTTTCTATCCTACTGCAACTTTTTTCTATTGTTCTGAAGCAGAAACTCGTGTCATTAAGTAAGTAATGCCGATTCAGATTATCAACCTGGTGGATTTTGATACCGCATGCCATTATCCTAATTGAAGATCAATTTTTTAAATAACAGGGTATGCAGAATCATAGATACCAACCTGTAAATGACTCTTAACTTCATCATTAGTAAGTCCATCCACCTTCATTAGCTCCCTAATTTGCTTTGGTGTTGCAGCTGCATTACATTGAATCAAAACTATATTTCTATTCAATTCCAAACCACAATAAAACAACAAAACCATAGTCTCCCTTCCGAAAATAATCATTCTCACCGTGTGAACCACCAAGCTGTTGCAGTGCATGTAAGAACCTTCTATGCAACTCAGGTGACCAACACCTTCTTAGTTTTCTTTGATTCCCCGCTTCTTTGTCTTCGTTTTTATTGTTTTCACAACCAGTCCCTCCTGTCACAGCTCCCGCTGTTGAACTTGTAGCAGAAGCCGGAACTGAAGTTGGTGCCATAGCAGTTGCCTGATTACTACTCTTCCCTACACTTCTCTCTCTGTGAAATGGCTGAAATGCACCTCCAGTCCCATCTCTTTTCACTTCTGTCACCACTGCCTTTCTTGGCAAATCCTTCAAGAATCAAGCACACAAAATAAAACCCACTTCTTTTTTAATTTATCTCAATTTTCTCAAAACTCAAAAGAGTGTTAGTCATTATAGTACCTGTTTTTGAGGTGGATCTGGGGATTGATTCCACAACTGGACAGATCTAAGCCAATCAGATTTCTTTTTGTGGTCATTGTTGTTGCTGCTGTTGCTCTTGTTTCTATTATTAGTATTCTGTGATTGTTGCTCTTGATGATCATCATTTTCATTATCATTTTCATCATCAGAAGAAGAGTGAGTTCTCTTAATAGGAATAAATTCCTCCAAAACCGGCCCTTCACTTGATGTCTGCTCACAGCATTCTGATTGTTCATGCATGTTATACTCCGTAGTTGTCCCTGATAACTCCCTCTTACATGCCTCAATCGCTACAACAAACACACAAACTTCAAAAATCCAATCTTTATTTAACCCACCAAAAATAAGGTAAAAAAAAAAAAAAAGTTAAAAGAAGCACAAACCTTGAGTAACAAGCTCTAGACACAAAGGGAGCTCGCGTTCAAATACTTGAATCTTGCGTCTTTCTTCTTCTAATGCTTCTACATATTCATGACACCGTTGCGTTTTCTCTGCGAAATCCATTCTTTTCTATTCAAAATGTCTATCTATCCAGTCTTGAGAAAAGGTTTTCCTTTTTGACTTCTTGTTATAATTCTTGTTGCTGATGATGGGGGTGGTAGTGGTAGAGATAGATTATATGTAGAAATACAGGTGAGGTGATCTGGTTACAAAGCATAGATAGATCCGAAAAAAAAAAAAAAAGAAGAAAGGGAAAGGAGAATATTGAGAGAAGAATATGGGATCTAAGTAGAATCACAAAATGGAATAAACTTGACAGCCAAGAAAAAAAATACTACTTATACATATATACACACGCTAAAGCTAGTTTCCAGTGAGAGAAAGAAAGGTATTACTAGAGAGACTTACAGAGAGAGGTTAATGGAAGATTAAGATAAATAATAAGGGATTAGCTAGGTTTTTTCTGTAAGAAATTAAGATCAAATTAAGGTTGTAATAAGAGAGAGAGGAGAGGGGGAAAAAGAAGAAGCAAAGTATGGTTACTAAGGTATGGATCGAAGTCGGGGCGTCGCGTACAGAAACGAATCTTGGATGTGCGGTGTATAAATATATTTTCCTTGCTTAGAAAGAGAAAGAGAAGAAAAGGAGAGAAGGGAAGGGTTGAATATTCGAGGGTGTGATTCCCTTTTCGCCTCTTCGTTGTGGGCTGGCAATGATGTCAGCGTTTTGTCCTTCCATTATCTTCAGATAAGATCAGAAAACCTGTCTTTTCCTTCCTTCTGTCCTTTCCTTTTTGCTCCTTGGGTCTCAAAAATGGCTCTTGCATAAAATGGTCTTCTAAAATGGCTGTCCTGTCCCTAAGAAGAAACTAATATTGTAATTCAATTTGAAATTAAAAGTATTATTTGTTTCTCAAAGCATAGATTATTCCAAGTTTATATGAGCTGTTTATAAATTTTTATATTTAAAAAAATAAATTATAATTTGTACCGTTTCATGTAGCACAATTAGTTACATAATATTAATTTTCTTTTGCACAATAAATAAATAAATAAGGAAAAAAGAAAAATTATGATAGATATATATATATATATATATATATATATATATATATATATATATATATATATTTAAATAATAGTCCTAAGTATAAAATGAGAAAATTTTAAATATTATTAAATTTACTAACCAAATTGTTATTTCTATTCTTTTTTAGATTGTTATTTCTATTCTTTTTTAGATGATTATCGATGTATTCTTTTTATTATATCCCATCATTATTTATCAATAATTATTATATAATAAATATTGATGAAGAATATATTGATATTTTTTTAAAATAATAAAAATAATAATTTGATCCTTGAATTTAATGATAAAAAAAATTATATGCTACTGATTTGAGGTGTCACAAGCCCTTTTATGTCAGCACACAATAAAGCAGACAAAACCAATAAGATTACGGACCTCTCGTTGTCTAGACAAGAGGCTGCGTATTACATAGCCTGGAGAATGGGATCAACCAGAGTTCCTTGTTTATTAATACCAGCAGTAAGGATAGCCGAACCCACCTATATCTCCACCTTGCCAAAGCCTAAATTCAAGCCATAGCAAGCAGCCCGCATCTCAGCCAAAACTTTCAACAGCGAGGATAATTTTACTTAAAAGTTTTTTTCCAAAAAACATAAATAAATAAATAAATTGAAAAAAAAATATTGTGATTTTGTTGTGAGATCCTATAATTGTTCTTACTAATTTAATTACTCATGTATATTCCTAAAATTAGTTTCAATGTTTGGTACTATTCTTCCAAGAAATATCAATATTATTTATTGGATTAATGGTATGCTTTAGCAGGATACACGTACCCTCGTTTAATACACAATTTTTTTCATGATGTGAACAAGTCTTTTAATAAATAATATGGTGGTACATATATACAATGAATTTCAATAGTTGAAAGTTAAGAGAATTCATGCACTAGTTATAGGTAGTCAGATCATAGAGTTGATTTGTAAAGTCCACCAATTCACATTTGAATATGTAACAAAATTTTCATACTCATAAAAAACGATTAAACAACTATAGATTATTGTTTTTGGGAAGGAAAAAAAAGCCATTTAATTCAACACTTAATTATGTAAACATTTGATTAGTTGGGCTTAATTCTTTAGTTTTTTTACTTACGAGTAGTTTACAAAAACTCAGTATTATTGAGTTGTGAATTCTAATATAGGGAAACTCTAACAAAATTAATAGGTGGCCATTTCTCGTTGTAATTGATTCTCATCGTACTCTATTATAGAAAAACTCAAATATATATAAAAGCTAAAAACTCTAACTACCTCTGAACTTTAAATAATTTGAGTTTTTATTGATTTTTGAGATATCTAAGCTTTTAATTTTTTCAGATTTAATTTATTTAATGATTTCCATCTATCATCTTCTCCTCCAAAAAAATTAATGATTTAGCCTAAAAAAATTTGCACACACATTGAAAAAAATAAATCCATTTTGTAAAAAATTTTCAAAATTGAAAAAAAAAATGTTTATTTTTTGAACATTAAAAATATAAAAAATTGAAAAAAAATAAATTAATCGTGAAATGATCCCAATGTAAATCTTGTTGAATGATTTTTTTATCATAAACCTATTTATGTGATTTTTATTTTTTAAGATAAAGGAGAAAAAACTAAAGAATGGACTTAATTTTTTAAAAAAAATTAAAGTTCAGAATTCTTTAAAACTAATTAAAAAAATTCAAATATTCAACTTAAATGAATTAAAGTTTAGGAGTTGTTAATTAGATTTTTTAGCCATATATAAATTGTGTTTTCTCATAGAGCATCCGTAAATAGGAATGGCAATGGGGTGAGGTTGGGATTGCCATCCCCATCCTCACTCCGTCGTTAGAAAAGAAAAAAAAACTTATTCTCATTTCGTATTTTATTCGAGTCGTTGAAATGAATATAGCAATTTGGTTGGCATTTTTGTAAATATGTAATAAATGAAAGCTAGTTAGTGAGTTAAATTCAAATTGCATTTGTTAGGCTAGCCGTTAGGAGTTTGTTATGTCGGTATATATACACCGACTTCACGTGAAATAACTGTTGAAGATTCTTTTTCATTTCTCTCGTAAATTTTCTCTGCAAACAGAGAGCAAAGTATTTCTACTTCAAAAGGGCGTTTCTTTTTGCTTCTCTTTGAATCTTGTTTAGGTAATTTTGAGTTCTAACATGGTATCAAAGCATAAGATCGATCGCGATTCACTTGTGATTTGTTTGATCTAGTTACGCATCTCAAATATAGCTCTTGCAAACGAGAATAGTGATTCTTCAACAACGTCCGTGATAGCGTCCAATCCTTTGCAATTGATGAGTTCGGATGTGCTCGGCATGGTTCTTGTGAATCAACCATTATTAGGAGCATCGAACTATATTCCATGGCGCGGATCCATGGAGATCGCACTTGCTTGCAAAAATAAGCTTGGTTTTGTCAATGGTGATATTCCAAAACCTGAGAAGAAGATCCGAATCTTCCACAATGGGAGCAAGTCAACAACATGGTGATATCTTGGTTACTCGGCGTTGTCTCTAAAGAAATTGGAAAATCCATATTCCATGGTAGTATCGCATCTATCATGTGGCTGAATCTTAAGAAACGTTTCTCACATAGTATCGGTACTATGATATATGGTTTACGTAAAGCAATATCATCCCGTAATCAAGATAACATGAACATTGAAACTTATTACACCAAACTCAAGCGAGTTATGGGACGAGTTAGAGGCTATGACTCACATTCCATTATGTAGAGACGATGTATAATGTCTTGTTGCAAAGGCATGGGAAGATCGGAAAGATGAACGGCGGTTGATGCGAGTTTTTAATGGGGTTAAACGATAGTTTTAAACCGAGTTAGAGGTCGATTTTATTGATGAAGCCTCTGTCATGTATGGAAGATGCATACTCTATGATTCAACAGGAAGAAAGACAAATGGAGGTTTCGCAGTTTATGCCTATGGAGCATATAACATCCGCTCTCTTGATCGGGAACAACACAAGCCGAGTCAAGGTAGTCGGATATGGAACGCTAATATTAAGAAGAATTTGTGGTGTGAATATTGTCAAATGGAAGGGCATGTGAAGGCTAAATGCTTCAAACCGTATGGTTATCCACCTAACTACAAATCCAAAGGAAGAAGAAACACTATGATTGCTCAAGGAAATTTGCGGAAGACACAAAGTCACAATGTGGAATACGGTGATCGGTTGAATCATGGAAACTCCTCCAATAACTCGATCCAAAAGGATCAACCAATTCGTTCAATAGCTTATTTCTAAAAGGTTCAAATAGTAGGTGTGCTAATGCTTGGGATAACTTCGATGCCTTCGGAGACCAATGCTACCGCTCATCTTCAACCTAATCATCACTTCACCCTTGATCGGATAAATCAACTTCTACACCTTCTTACTCATCAAAATCCATCTACTCTAACACTAATTCATCATTTGGTAGGTAAAAGTCATTGTCTATCAATGTCTCATACATGTCATGATTGGATCATAGATAGTGGTGCAAATGACCACATTACACATTGTTTTCCTCTTTTACAATCACCTACTAAGTTGCATATTCCTCATCTAGTTCATTTACCGGACGGTTCCGGTGCATATGTCACACACACAGGAACTATTACCTTGTGTTCCAATCTCACCTTACATAATGTCTTGTTCGTACCAACTTTCAAACACAATCTCATATCCGTTAGCAAACTCATTAGGGATTCTTCCTACATCATCACATTCATATCCAATTCTTGTCATATGCGGGACCATTTGCGGAAGACATTTATGGAAATTGACGATCAACTTAATGGATTATATTTTCTTAGCTTTGTTCTCGCAAAATATGAGTCCATACTTTCGATTGTTCTACTCAAATTGTTCAAAATTCTATCTCAACTACATTAGACAAATCTGTATTGTGGCATCATCGGTTAGGCCACATTTCTTTTAGCAAACTTAAACACCTTGTCTCAATCATTTCGATTTATATGATGT